AAGTCTCCTTGTTAGTCCTCCAGTATTTCTTGAGGGGAACGTACAAGCCTGAAGTTCACATTGAAAAAAATGATCAGATATGGGGAAAACACATAGATTACCACATCTGTAGTGGGTGAGGGAGTGAGGGATATTCACGGTCAATGTTTACACTTTAAAATTTGAATCACTACATGACTGGGGCCCGTCCCACCGGGTTGAAGGAAATCAATTCCATGTTCACTAACTTGACAAGAATGATTAGGTATATTTGATGACAAGAATCACTATATTGTGCATGATGCAGTTCAATTAGTGCTAGGAGAATAAATATGAGGTCAGATGATAGCTTACCGTTCGAAATATGAAACTATCCGTAAGTATTTTGTTTCCTATCACAAGTTACCGCCTTATTATTGCAACGCCTTGCGAAGGTTCGTGTTCGTCCACCTACGATACAGAATATCAACAGAAAGGTTATTTTTCACAGCCCAAACTTGCAAAATAAGTAGGAAAAAGGGTTACTCCAATATACCTGTGAAACTCAGTTCGGTTAGCGACTCCGCGCTTTTTCCGCCAATATCCTTCAGGATATAAACTTTTCGGATCTATTTCACGACTCCGACGACTATAATATGCCTTTTATTATACTTTGGGCAGAAGAAAAGATGAAAAGTTAACTGTACCACAAACAGATTGTGAAATTTTAAATGTTGTTTTGACAATTGCTCATAGATGATAGACGGGTCGTCCACTCCCAAACATGTGTCTATGATTTGTTTCCCACTTCAACTGAAGGCAAAGGCCACAGTCAAACAGACAGCCGCCGCATTCGAGACGAACCGAAGAATAAACTCAAAACTATATACCTACGCTCGCCGTAAGCTGAGGAAAAGGGAATACCTACCCAAATCAGCGAGGAAATTCAATTTCGAGTAAACCTCAAAATCGATTAAAAACAGCACCCGATAAGGAGGACTCAAATCGATCTGGGAAAAACTATTCAAAATTCAACAACTGTCAAACTCCATCCATTCATCCACGCGCCCCCACAGAGATTCACTGCCTGATTACTTTTTTTTTTTTTTTTTTATAAGTCTCAAGGCGAATATTTTAGTCGAATAGAAAAATCGACTCTTCCCTCAAGGCTACCAACCCAATCAATGAAGTTTGACAGCTACGCTGACGTAAGCGGTTCGCTATCATAGACAAAACAGCTGTCCTACGTGTGTCAGTGTCACGCTCTGTTTAAAAACAAACACTACAGTATGAAAAATCCAATAGAGCGGTTTTGAGCAGTTCAAGAACACATTTGCAGTGCATATTTCAATGTACGTTTTTTTTTACTATTTTTTTATTAACGATATTTTTTTCGACACATTGACTGTACTACATTGACACACGTTTCTTTGGTATTTTAAAAAAGCAGAATTGAATTGACACCCTGGTCACTGGTAACCGTAGTTGCTATGTCCGGTGGCGGCTCTGGGGGCTTAGACAAAGTAACATCGCTTTGTAGCGAAAGGATATCTAAATTCGTCATCGTTTTCGCCCGTTGGCCAACTACACCATCTTCTTTACTACGATGCCAATGCGAGTATCAATTAAATGTAAATTTTTCCTCATATCTTTTGGGTAAGAAAATCAAGGGACTAGTAAAAGTGAGATGATTTGGTCCTTGGAACAAGACTTTTTTAAAATCAGTCAAAAGATGCTCTAACTTAACTAGTGGGTGCTTTCCCACACAAATTTTGAAACCTCGCTTTACCCCTTTAGGGGAAGAGTTTTCGAAAATTCTTTCTCAGCGCACATTTTAACAGTTATATGTGCGCCAAATTTCAGCGCAATCCGTTCAGTCATTTGAGCTGTGCGTTAATAGATTAATCAGTAACGGTTTCCTTTGAGATACACAGAAAAAAGAAAAACATGTGGCGTTGGCAGATTCCTAGCCTTATTTTGACCACTCAACCGAAACCCTCACCGATGTTCACAGACCAATGACACAAGACACAATGGCAACGCCGGACTGCGACTTTGAGACTGGCTGGGATGCATAATAAAGCCTTCTATGTACCGCCGGCGCCGGCAACCACCAGTTTCCGACCATTATCACGTCTTATACGAGTAATGGCCATATAAATTATTACTCCATTCGATCTGGACAGCATTATGAACACTTAGAAGTCGCAGTGGAATTTTAAACCAAGCGCGATTATAAATGTTATTTCTGTAGTCAAATATTACCTACAGATAACGGCGTGGTTGGCAAATATTTTAGATAAGAATTGAGACGATTATATGCATTTCATTATAATTATAATAAGGTTATCCCGTTATATAATTTACACTTAAAACACTTTATAATTTAAAAACTTTCCTTGCTAAATTATTATATTTTTATTTTAAGCGTTTAAGTGATAGTTGTTTAAATCTCTAGAAAAAAAATACTCAGTTCAGGTTCCGTATGAAACGATTTTCCTTACTAAGTAGAAGTTTCTCTGAATTTACAGTATTAAGAACTTAAAGATATCTTATTAAAAATATCCTCGTACCCCTTTTTATTTTGAACAGAAAGAGCCCAACACGATACGTATAACAGCAAAAGCAGATAACGTTTCATAGCTTGCGAATTTGGTAACGCAAATGCTGATTAAACCCGTTACATGGATTTCGTGATGCAATCTAAACTTAGTTTGCATTCAATGGAGAACTAATGCAGCGAACAGTGCGACGTCGAAGCCGCTAACTAAGTAGTCGGCGTACAACTACTACCGATACCTAATTGACTTTGTAATTAACGACAGCTTTGTAAATTAGACAAACGCCGCTGAGTAAGTAAATGCAGCAGAATGCGACCTCAATGTTTAGTTAGATGGTTATGGCTTGATACATAGAAACTACGCTAAACCTGCTAAGCGCGAGTTGATTTTTTTGTCGGTTGGTCCACATACCTTATACATTTTATTTAAAAAAAACTCAAACTACAAAAGGTAGCTGTGGCTCTACGAATAAAGTCCTTTTTTATAGCTAGGTCCGACAAATGACTCCTCCATGGTCCCGACCTGTTGTTAAGTGATGGTGGAGTCCAGACGCGAAGATAGCTGGTACAGCAGTTTTACCTCCTAGACCAGCCATCCTCAGTTTTCCAGCCTGCAAGTTGCTTCTTCACGCCTCTTTTAGATAATGCCGGGTTGTAGGAGACACGAGACGGCAAAGCATTCCATTTACGGATCGCGTAACAAAGAAGTGTCACCAAAGGACATTGCTCGTTCCCCATACATTGAATGCCCTAGAACGCACAGTAATGAGAAAATGCTAGTTCTGTTCGGAATCATTCATAAACTCTAATTAGGCATTTGTTGAGATACGGACAACTTGAGGAACCGTGGCCTACTTCGCGTAGTGTATATATTCTGTGCTACTACAGAATGTATTAGATTTGGAGGTTATAATTATTATACTTAATCGTAAAAGATGTACACTTTATATATTCTGAATAGATTAAGTGTTTACCTCTATGTAAGCACTTAAATAATATGCATTAAATGAACATAAAAGGAGCTCGATGGCGCAAGTGGTTAGCGCTTTCGGCTACGATCGTTGAACTTAAGCAACTTTCGCAGTGGTCGGTCATTGGATGGGTGACCAAAAATCACTATCTCGAGCTCCTCCGTGCTTCGGAAGGCACGTTAAGCCGTTGGTCCCGGCTGCATCTGCAGTCGTTAGCACCCACCAATCCGCACTGGGCCCGCGTGGTGGGTCATGGCCCAAATCTCCCTATTCCATCCATAGGGAAGGCCTGTGCCCCAGCAGTGGGGACATTAATAGGCTGATGATGATGATGATGAACATAAAATGCAATTAATACTAAAAATAATAAATGCTTATATTCATACTGATTTATGAGTGTTAGTAGTTGGCACCTATGATACCTACCTGTTGTAATAATAGATTTCTTTTCAAATGAAATGTTCAAAGTCTTTCCATTTACCTGTTTCTATGTTTTACTATTGGTAAAATTAAATGGGATGGGAGTATAAACTATCTTTACATTATTTCAGAAATAATGTTTTTATAAATATAATATCAATACTAGTGACAAGTTTTATTTAATTTATTTTATGTTATGTCTATTTAATTAGGACAAATAATGAAATAATATATAAACATAATTATCACTTGTATTACTATTAAGTGTAGTAGTACGTTTTACGCAGTACTATTGTTTGTTAGAAATTAAGAAAATTTGCAGTGCCCTTGCAGGGCTCATGTTGTGAATCTTTATTTTAAATTTAAGAACCCATGTATGTACCAACATGAAGCATTAAAGAAAAAAAAAAAAAAAAAACAAGTATTATTAACTAAGGATTAACTAAGGTACCTAGTTCTATTCATAAGTTGATAAATGTGTATGGTCGCCTATATTGCATTTATTATGCTAAACAATCTTGGCACAACTTTTTAGCAAATTCACCAATTTAAAATAAAATAATAACGAAGCCAATAAACTATTAAAGTAAATCGTTATTATAGACTGAAACCTATTGAATTCAGTTATCGGTTGATTTTTAATGCTGTATTTTCAATAAAAAGGAGTGCTTACATTGTTTACCAAATAGGAGAAGTTAGGATGAACGGACTGTAGTACCTAGTAACAGAACTTTTATTTTTTTAAACAGATTGTCCGTTTACTATGATTAATTGCTAATAAATTAAAAAAATAATAGAAAAATAATAGTGAAGGACATTCTTTTGGGCATGCTAGGGCCGATTTCGTCGATGTTCCTTCTTTGCTCGCATTGGAATAGTGGCCACAGTAAGTCGGTGACAACGTAGGCCAGTAGTTCTTGTTTTTGTTAGATTATTTATTGCAGTTGACATAGTGACAGACATAGGAACGCGGCAATATACATTTTTCTTTTACTTATAAATTAAATACTGCCTGCCAGTTTATTACAGTAACAGTTTTGTTATAACAAAAGAAGACTTTTGTTGCTGCCTCAAAAGTATAATAAAGGTACCTTAGAAAGTAGTCGTGCACGAACTCTTGGTTCTCGTCTAGCCAAGCCTCGGTGCGCGCGCATTCTGCGTCGTAGCAGGCGGGCGCGGGCATACCGGCGCCCGCGCCGCCCGCCGGCTCCTCTATACTCCGCAACTGTAGGCCTGGAACAAACGAGATGCAAGTTTAGTACACATATAAAAGGTGGATCCCAAACAGTCACGACTTTAGAGCCGAAAAAAAAACCGGCCAAGTGCGAGTCGGACCCCGCATCGAAGGTTCCGTACAAACTCAATTTAATACCTCTACGCGTTCATAAGAAAAGAGGTAGTAACTTTAAAATTTACAAAAAAAACGTATATGATGTAACTAAAAATTTGCGGTTTTTGCAATTTTTCCCTTATCTGTACTATAAAGACGTTACTTCGTACCACATTTCAAGATTCTGAGTTCACGGGAAGTACCCTGTAGGTTTTGATTCCCATGCGAGTTTCGAAAATTTGCGGCATAAACTGCTGTATCTTTTGATTGCTTTGGCTTGGAAGTTTGATTTTTTCCCAGCTTCAAGGGACAGTAGACATGAGTATTAGATATGAATTTAAGTTTGATACCTCCACGCGTTCCTGAGATAAACGGTCTTGACAGACGGACAGGCGGGCAACAAAGTGATCCTATTAGGGTTCCGTTTTTTCCTTTTAAGGAACGAAACCCTTAAAGTAAGAAAAACGTTCGAATCTTGCCCCCTTAGCCGCTTGTCCGCCGCCCCCGTCCCGAAACGTCAACGAGAACGTGATGACGGCGCCGAAGTGGCGACACATACGTGTACCGTAGCCGCTTGTCTACCGCAAGCCCGTCACGTCATCTTGATCTAATACAGAAATAATCTCGATTCTCGTTCTCGTTGACGTTCCGCTGACGACCGCGGTAGACAAACGACCTTTTGGAGAAACGAACAATTACGTCGTAGAAACTAAGAAAATAGAATGTTCATATTTTGATCGTGCATTCTTTTTTGATTGTCATTTATTATACAGTCTACCGTATTTTGGACATGGCTTGTAAAAATATAGTACTATAGCACCCAAGCAAGGCTAAGTCAGAAACTAATATCTCAGCATTGGTAATTTTTAAACTGAACCGGAGTACTTTCGCTTTAGCAACAACTCACCCAAATGAGCATCGGCTACGAGGTACCTTGGCAAGACAGTAAGTAAGCTGAAATTGTATTTTATTTAAGGTGTGCTTAATTTGCTATTTCAAAAAAATATGAAATTGTAAACTTAACATGAATACGATGTTATGAGCAGTTTAAAACAGATATTTCATGTCGAATGCACAAGACACTTAGCGAAGTTTTCTGCAGCTGAGCTACGCAGTTCAGTAATTAACTTCGGCAAGTGAGTCGGAGAAAAGATTCTTATTGAATTTCGGTCCCAGAAATCCGACTACTGTTCCACATTAATAACTATAGCCAACCTAAATCTCTGCCAAATAGCAATTCGTGTAGATAATACCGACACAATACAAGAATTACAATACTCCTGTCAGAAAACTGGACCGAGTCAAATTTGTACTAGGTACTTTGATTATTAAAAACTGTACATTAAGAACAACAATGCTGAACAGAATGAGAGAAAAATATATATTGCGTCAGCTGCTGACTTCCCATCTAGTGGGTTCCAAAAGTAATAGACGATGAACTATCATCGATATTAAACACCCTAGATACACCACGTGCGCTCAAAATGGGTCCCAATCAAGAAGTGGTTGAACACCACTCAAGCACTTCCTGGTTCAGTCACGCGCGGATCGTTGAAAAGTAAAGATGCCGCAGTGAACTATTCGAAATGTAGCGTAATGGAGGTGACTGTAAAAGCATTAACAAGACAATAAACTTGACATATTCGTAAGACCAAAACTATGTAAGTACCTTTAAACCAAGTATACGCATAGTAACCACTTATCATGTACTTTATTCAATAAATATTACACTTATGCTTACTTGGAACTTTGTAATTTGTAGTTGGTTTAACTTTGTTAAACCACCAACTGCAACAGCCGCATAAAAAGTATTTTTGAACATACATTTGTATCGAATAAAAAGTGAGAATAAATAAACAATTACTTAGTATTTTGTGGAGCGTTGAAATGTTTTTAATGTTAAGTAGAAACGTCAGTGTCGTAGTGACACTGACGGTTACATTACGGCAGTAAAAAATATATTAGATTGACATTGGAGATGAAACATGAGGTGGTCAAGGAAGTTATATAGCTGTTAAAGGCCTATTAGACTACCCAATTTTAAGGAATTTTAAATTTTACCCTGGCTAAGGGTGGTGTAATAAAGGTAATGGCGCAATTACACTTGGTTGTTAGCCCGAATACGATTGCCTATGAAATTCGGACAAACGACTTAGTGTAAATAAACGGAGTCCGCCGGTATTCAGACCGTTTTCATTTTGATTACCCGACGCCGTCTTCCAGTCCGTGTTCGAGTAAAAACAATGTAAATATTGAATTAGGTACCCGAATTCGAGTAATGTCTTTCGGGCACCCGAATACGACCTAACGACCAAGTGTAAATGCGCTTTTAGAGAGTAAGGTACCTGAACTAGGGCGATCGGCGAGTCCCGATGTCTCTTATACGAGTATGTAAAAATACAATTCTAAATTTATCTGGAAGATGATCTACTGCATTGAAAACAAAGGGCAAATTTCAAAGATCTTTGGTCCACATTTATATAGTTTCCTTGTTGTTTGAAGGACCTGTGAGTGCAACAACGTATTCTCGTATAAGGACACTTGTCTGTTTTGACATTTTTAAGCGAATTATCAAGTGGAAAAGAAATCAATTTGTTCGATAGTACTTATCACAAGCTATGTATACATGGTTAAAACATAATACAAACTAATAATAATAATAGAACTAAAATAAAAAGCAACAGAAATTATAAAAGTGGAATAATTTAAAAAAATGATAATCATATAATCACGCGAGATTGTTACTGTGTTTAGTTTAAAAAGTTAAAATAGATATCTCAGTAAGTATATTACACAATCAACAGTAGACTTTGCAAACAGTAAAATAACACACAAGTACCTATATTACTACAATATCACATTTGTATTTTATTAACGTTACTAGAATAAAGGGAGTATTGCCAATGTAGAACCAAAAATAGCTGAACGTCTTTTCATTTGGTCGCATTAAAGTCTACAAAACGTGAGTAGCGAATTTTGTACGTGCCTAGGTGGTCGAACACACTTATCATAGACAATACAATACCAGACCTTATAATATAAAATACAAACAGATGTCTTATTCCTGAAGATAAAGTTATAATAACAGCAAGACACTTTTGGGATAGCAGATCATCAAAATTGTATCAATTTTATTTAGATAAATAAATAAGAAGTATGAAGTGTAAAAGTTGGATAAACAAAGCTTTTTGTAAGTTTATTCTTTTGATATTATGATTAAATACATACTGAAAAAAAACAAGAAATTGCATTAAAATTAAATATAATTTAATTATATATTCTAACAGAAAATAACCCAAAATAAAGGTTACTTCAACTTTAATGTTCTGTTCACAATTATAAATAATAATAGTCAATCCATGGCATACATAAACAGTAGTATTAATTTTGTTACTTTGTAAAATTAAAGTTAGTTTACGTATCCATGCAATCTACTGTTTAATGTATGCACTGTGTGCTATTGTCGATCACCTGTTGCTTGTTTACTAACGCCTTGGTAAGGCCTTCTACGTCCGCTATAATTGGTATCAGAGCTAGCTGAATTGTAATGACAACATTATCCAGTGGCAATTATTACTACTACCTAACAAAAGATGCTTAACTTTGAATCCATAATATTGGAATCATAAATTACACATTATGAAGTTTTTTCGATTCATAAAGTAATAAACATTTTTTTCCTGATATAAACCATTAAAAGGACTATTATATTGAATGCCTAAAACAAGTTAAAAAAGTCAGTGCAGTCGGCGGATCCTTCAACTGCAATGACCTCTCTGATTAAACAACTTTTTAGTTCGTTTTTGTTTTATTTTTGCAAATCCTTTGCCGCTAAATTGTGCTATTTTCCCCCTAAAATAGAATAAATCCCACCATATCCGAAGGAACCCGTTATCGCCCGTTCAAGAAGAAAAATTGCTGCAGTCGACTGCCTAAGGACTGCTTGTAACACTCACGTCCCGTCAATTTCGCACTCTGAAACAACCTCTTTCCTTTCTTAGGTAGATACAAAAATGATTTTCCACCCTAATTCCCATACACAGGGCAGTATGAATACTCCAATGAACTTCCTTGCGCAGATAAAATGAGTAAACTATAGTGTGATAAACAACTTAAGGTGATTATTTGTTTGTCGAAATTGATTGTAGACAATATCTTATGGTCCGTACTTACATACGGTATCGCTCTAAAGCGAGTAAAAATCAAACCGTCCGTATACCGTATATGTGCGTATAAACCATTAGACCCAAACAATGACTTACTTGAGATTTGGTGAAGAGTGTAGGAGTTACGATTTGATTCACGTTAACGGTTAATGATATGAACCATGTTGGTTCATTTACAATAACTTATTTGAATTGGATAGGCTAGTTGATACTTTGGAAATATGATTTAAATGGTTAATAATATAATTGTTCTATTAGACCGAAAATAAATACAATTAATTTTTTTACGTCTACAGCTAGAAAACTTTAATTTTAACATAGATTTTTCATGGATATACAAAAACGCTGTCGGCCATTTTAGTCTATAGATTAATCTATGCTATGACGTCAAAAATTTGTAAACAAACACTGGCAAGCACGTAGGATATAACCTATCTGAATTTATATTATAAAACCATGATTTATAATCAATTTCATGATAAATATAGTATCTATCATGATTGTATTATACGAGAATGTAGAAATACATCGTTAAAGACTACAAAAAAGTTGTGTTTTAAATTACCTAGAGAAATACACATACCTACACATGAACACACGTTTAAAACTTGCTAAATCCTGTTAGTTTATCGTCTAAAAGTCATTTCTTTTAGCAAAGATCCCTTCGATGTAAGTACTCATTGAATAATATTTAAAGTTAACATATACAAATTTTAAGGTTATGAATGTACCTACTA